CGTCCGTCCGTCCGTCCGTCCGTCGTCCGTCGTCGTCCGTCCGTCCGTCCGTCCGTCCGTCCGTCGTCGTCCGTCCGTCCGTCCGTCCGTCGTCCGTCCGTCCGTCCGTCGTCCGTCCGTCCGTCCGTCCGTCAGTCCGTCCGTCCGTCCGTCCGTCCGTCGTCCGTCCCGTCCGTCTGTCGTCGTCGTGTCCGTCCGTCCGTCCGTACGTAAGTAAGTAAGTAAGTAAGTAAGTAAGTAATGTAAGTCGTGAGTAAGTAAGTAAGTAAGTAAGTAAGCAAGTAAGTTGACTTCATTTTCTTCTTGAGATTTTTTATTAAACAAACTCATACATGAAGAGTTTGTTTTTTTAAAATTAAAATTGTTTTGTTTTTCTTAATAACAATTATTTACAATTCTCTTAGCCCATAGACTTTGAGATTTTGACATCAAGCTTTTAATTTATAAATAAACCAGTTTTCAACAATCTTGCACATTCATTTCCCATTGAACTGAACTGAACCCTTTTAACCTAAATGTTACAAAAACTCAATAGCTCCCCCTGTTAATATTGAAACTTCCCTTCAGTAGTCAATCTCTGAACACATCGTTATTAAAACTACAAGTCAAAAAGGTCATTGTCTCAGTTGCAATAAGAGTTACGTATTTAACTGCTAAATAGCTATTTGCTCTTTACTTTAACTCTAGTTTAAGCTACTCTTAAATAATAAACAATAAAACTCTCTTAACTGTTAGTTATTGATCTTTGATCTAAGCAAAACCCAGGCTTTATAACGCGACTACTTCTGCTGCTGCTGCTGTTGTTGTTGTTGGACTTGTATATATGCCTCATTAAAGTAGAACTTAAACTTCACGTGTATGTATAAATTTCAAAATACAATAACAACAATTTAATTTTATTATTATTGTTGTAGCTGGTTGATTTTTTTTCGTAAATTTTGTTTAATAAAATCTGTGTAGTTTCTAAAATACTTGAACAGTTTCATCTTTACTTTTGACGCTTAACGTACGCAGTCTTCCAGTCTTTAACGTGTTCGAGTTTAAATTCAGTTTTTTTAATAATTTAAATTTTAAATTAAATTGTGCAGTGTTTTTTATACAAAAGAAAAAACACGTTTCTATAAACGGTATCTAAAAAAACTAAACACTTCCGACAGACCTACGGACACACAACTTTTTTTAAAAAAAAGTCTGGTGGTTTTTTCCCAAAAACAAAATATAATCGCGTTTCTTTTTGTCGCTTAACTAAATCAATAATATAAATTGTATGAATGAGTGTTTTAAAAGAAATTTATTGAAAAAAATATTATTTATTTATTTGTATTTTTCATTTATAACAACAACAAACTGATTATCATCCAATTATATGAAAAATTTAATAATAAAAATCATTTGACAAATTTATCCAGCAACTCAAGATTTCATTAAGAATAAAAAATAATTTGAACAATAAATTTGTGCAGTGATTTCAAATAATAACCCTTAAAAACGAAATGGAAAAAAATGTCTAAAAACAAATCAATATTATAACCAAAATTATTTTAAATACTCCGGAAGTACTTAGTCCGAAATTATTAAAAACTTTCTTTAGAAAAAATTTTGTTAATTCTGATAAATTTTCTAAAAAAAATAGACTATAGAAACTATTGTCAATATTTGAGAAAATTTCTACAGAAAATGTCAATATTTTGAGAAATTTTCTATAGAAAATGTTCTAGTTCAGTTTTAGTTCAGTTCTAGTTTAGTTCTAGTTCAGTTCTAGTTCAGTTCTAGTGCAGTTCTAGTTCAGTTCTAGTTCAGTTCTAGTTCAGTTCTAGTTCAGTTCTAGTTCAGTTCTAGTTCAGTTCTAGTTCAGTTCTAGTTCAGTTCTAGTTCAGTTCTAGTTCAGTTCTAGTTCAGTTCTAGTTCAGTTCTAGTTCAGTTCTAGTTCAGTTCTAGTTCAGTTCTAGTTCAGTTCTAGTTCAGTTCTAGTTCAGTTCTAGTTCAGTTCTAGTTCAGTTCTAGTTCAGTTCTAGTTCAGTTCTAGTTCAGTTCTAGTTCAGTTCTAGTTCAGTTCTAGTTCAGTTCTAGTTCAGTTCTAGTTCAGTTCTAGTTCAGTTCTAGTTCAGTTCTAGTTCGTTCTAGTTCACAGTTCTAGTTCAGTTCTAGTTCAGTTCTAGTTCAGTTCTAGTTCAGTTCTAGTTCAGTTCTAGTTCAGTTCTAGTTCTGTTCTAGTTCTGTTCTAGTTCTGTTCTAGTTCAGTTCTAGTTCAGTTCTAGTTCAGTTCTAGTTCAGTTCTAGTTCAGTTCTAGTTCAGTTCTAGTTCAGTTCTAGTTCAGTTCTAGTTCAGTTCTAGTTCAGTTCTAGTTCAGTTCTAGTTCAGTCTAGTTCAGTTCTAGTTCAGTTCTAGTTCAGTTCTAGTTCAGTTCTAGTTCAGTTCTAGTTCAGTTCTAGTTCAGTTCTAGTTCAGGTTCTAGTTCAGTTCTAGTTCTAGTTCAGTCCTAGTTCAGTTCTAGTTCAATTCTAGTTCAGTTCAGTTCTAGTTCAGTTCTAGTTCAGTTCTAGTTCTGTTCTAGTTCTGTTCTTGTTTTGTTCTACTTCTGTTCCAGTTTCTGTTCTAGTTCTGTTCTAGTTCTGTTCTAGTTCTGTTCTAGTTCTGTTTCTAGTTCTGTTCTAGTTCTGTTCTAGTTCTGTTCTAGTTCTGTTCTAGTTCTGTTCTAGTTTGTTCTAGTTCTGTTCTAGTTCTGTTCTAGTTCTGTTCTAGTTCTGTTCTAGTTCTAGTTCTGTTCTAGTTCTGTTCAAGTTCTGTTCTAGTTCTGTTCTAGTTCTGTTCTAGTTCTGTTCTAGTTCTGTTCTAGTTCTGTTCTAGTTCTGTTCTAGTTCTGTTCTAGTTCTGTTCTAGTTCTGTTCTAGTTCTGTTCTAGTTCTGTTCTAGTTCTGTTCTAGTTCTGTTCTAGTTCTGTTCTAGTTCTGTTCTAGTTCTGTTCTAGTTCTAGTTCTGTTCTAGTTCTATAGTTCTGTTCTGTTCTAGTTCTGTTCTAGTTCTGTTCTAGTTCTGTTCTAGTTCTGTTCTAGTTCTGTTCTAGTTCTGTTCTAGTTCTGTTCTAGTTCTGTTCTAGTTCTGTTCTAGTTCTGTTCTAGTTCGGTTCTAGTTCTGTTCTAGTTCTGTTCTAGTTCTGTTCTAGTTCTGTTCTAGTTCTGTTCTAGTTCTTTCTAGTTCTGTTCTAGTTCTGTTCTAGTTCTGTTCTAGTTCTGTTCTAGTTCTGTTCTAGTTCTGTTCTAGTTCTGTTCTAGTTCTGTTCTAGTTCTGTTCTAGTTCTGTTCTAGTTCTGTTCTAGTTCTGTTCTAGTTCTGTTCTAGTTCTGTTCTAGTTCTGTTCTAGTTCTGTTCTAGTTCTGTTCTAGTTCTGTTCTAGTTCTGTTCTAGTTCTGTTCTAGTTCTGTTCTAGTTCTGTTCTAGTTCTGTTCTAGTTCTGTTCTAGTTCTGTTCTAGTTCTGTGCTAGTTCTGTTCAAGTTCTGTTCTAGTTCTGTTTTAGTTGTGTTCCAGTTACGTTCTAGTTCTGTTCCAGTTATGTACTAGTTCTGTTCCGGTTGTGTTCTAGCTTTGTTATAGTTCTCGTTTAGTTCATTTCTATAGAAAATCTAGTTCTATAGAAAATCTGTTCATTATATAGAGTAATTGTTTTATAAAAATCTCTTAAAATTTCGAGAAATTTCCTATATAAAATCTCAAGTTCAAGCAACCAATTTATTTTAAAAATGAAAACTGGTTTAATTTTAGGAAAAAAAATTTAGTACATTGCGTAATGCAATTAATTTTTAACTGACAATTTGCGTCACCTTCATCTTAAATTAGAATATTTAAAAAATTTTTATTTTTAATTTTTTTGGTTAATATTGTTTTAAGCAAAGTTATTATTTTGCAAAAATATTCCATTTAACAAAAAAAAAAAAAAAATCGAAATTTTATAATTGCATGACTTTTTGTTTAATAATCATATTTTTTTATAATTATTATTTAAAGACATTGAGAGTGAATTAAAAAAGTTGAAATAAAATTTTAATTATATTTTTTTTAATGCAATTACACTAGGGGTTCCATTTTATGTTCCTCACATTTTGTTGAAAAGTTGATTTGTTAATGAAACCCAGATTTTATATTAGAAAGCTTAATACCAGTTATAATAATTACAAAGTTGCATTAATAATGAAAGGTTAAGACCTGCCAATTTAGATAAAATAAAAAAAATATTAAAAGTTGTTATTTGCCAATAACTCTGACTTGGCATACTCGTTATAATATTTACTATTAAATTTATAAATAAATGCACAAATCTATTGTAAATTTATTAATTTATGATTCATTTATAAATAAATAATTAAATTTATATGAATAATTTAAAACTCAAACAAAAATATTTAAAAACAAAATAATTAATTACACATATTTTTTTTAAAACAAATATTAACTTGAAGATTTCAACAGTAAATACAGAAAATAAATAAAAATTATTTAAAAATCTATGCAAAACAAAAATAATTTGCTAAAATCAACACAGACATTTAATTGATTGTAACACAAACTCAAAAAATAACAGTAAACAACAAAAACACAAAAACACACATATTACCAAAATGAGTAAGTAATTATTAAACATTTCAAAATTTTTTACTTAATTACAATAATCTTTTTAAACGTAAGTTTCGTTAAGCTCAAGTTACGACCACAAACTTCTAGTTGCATAAGCATCAAACCTATTGATGTTGCAACAAACCTGCTAAATGGTCGCAGCACAACTAAAACTACTAAAATCTTAAATCGAGTCAATAGCCTAAGATAGACCGAACTAGAGGGCTTAACTGCAACTAGTTAAGCCCTCTAGTTCAGTTCTAGTTCATTTCTAGTTCAGTTTTAGTTCAGTTCTAGTTCATTTCTAGTTCAGTTCTAGTTAAGTTCTAGTTCAGTTCTAGTTCAGTTCTAGTTCAGTTCTAGTTCAGTTCTAGTTCAGTTCTAGTTCAGTTCTAGTTCAGTTCTAGTTCAGTTCTAGTTCAGTTCTAGTTCAGTTGTAGTTCAGTTCTAGTTCAGTTCTAGTTCAGTTCTAGTTCAGTTCTAGTTCAGTTCTAGTTCAGTTCTAGGTCAGTTCTAGTTCAATTCTAGTTCAGTTCTAGTTCAGTTCTAGTTCAGTTCTAGTTCAGTTCTAGTTCAGTTCTAGTTCAGTTCTAGTTCAGTTCTAGTTCAGTTCTAGTTCAGTTCTAGTTCAGTTCTAGTTCAGTTCTAGTTCAGTTCTAGTTCAGTTCTAGTTCAGTTCTAGTTCAGTTCTAGTTCAGTTCTAGTTCAGTTCTAGTTCAGTTCTAGTTCACTTCTAGTTCAGTTCTAGTTCAGTTCTAGTTCAGTTCTAGTTCAGTTCTAGTTCAGTTCTAGTTCTGTTCTAGTTCTGTTCTAGTTCTGTTCTAGTTCTGTTCTAGTTCTGTTCTAGTTCTGTTCTAATTCAGTTCTAGTTCAGTTCTAGTTCAGTTCTAGTTCAGTTCTAGTTTCAGTTCTAGTTCAGTTCATTAGTTCAGTTCTAGTTCAGTTCTAGTTCAGTTCTAGTTCAGTTCTAGTTCAGTTCTAGTTCAGTTCTAGTTCAGTTCTAGTTCAGTTCTAGTTCAGTTCTAGTTCAGTTCTAGTTCAGTTCTAGTTCAGTTCTAGTTCAGTTCTAGTTCAGTTCTAGTTCAGTTCTAGTTCAGTTTAGTTCAGTTCTAGTTCAGTTCTAGTCAGTTCTAGTTCAGTTCTAGTTCAGTTCTAGTTCAGTTCTAGTTCAGTTCTAGTTCAGTTCTAGTTCAGTTCTAGTTCAGTTCTAGTTCAGTTCTAGTTCAGTTCTAGTTCAGTTCTAGTTCAGTTCTAGTTCAGTTCTAGTTCAGTTCTAGTTCAGTTCTAGTTCAGTTCTAGTTCAGTTCTAGTTCAGTTCTAGTTCAGTTCTAGTTCAGTTCTAGTTCAGTTCTAGTTCAGTTCTAGTTCAGTTCTAGTTCAGTTCTAGTTCAGTTCTAGTTCAGTTCTAGTTCAGTTCTAGTTCAGTTCTAGTTCAGTTCTAGTTCAGTTCTAGTTCAGTTCTAGTTCAGTTCTAGTTCAGTTCTAGTTCAGTTCTAGTTCAGTTCTAGTTCAGTTCTAGTTCAGTTCTAGTTCAGTTCTAGTTCAGTTCTAGTTCAGTTCTAGTTCAGTTCTAGTTCAGTTCTAGTTCAGTTCTAGTTCAGTTCTAGTTCAGTTCTAGTTCAGTTCTAGTTCAGTTCTAGTTCAGTTCTAGTTCAGTTCTAGTTCAGTTCTAGTTCAGTTCTAGTTCAGTTCTAGTTCAGTTCTAGTTCAGTTTAGTTCAGTTCTAGTTCAGTTCTAGTTCAGTTCTAGTTCAGTTCTAGTTCAGTTCTAGTTCAGTTCAGTTCTAGTTCAGTCTAGTTCAGTTCTAGTTCAGTTCTAGTTCAGTTCTAGTTCAGTTCTAGTTCAGTTCTAGTTCAGTTCTAGTTCAGTTCTAGTTCAGTTCTAGTTCAGTTCTAGTTCAGTTCTAGTTCAGTTCTAGTTCAGTTCTAGTTCAGTTCTAGTTCAGTTCTAGTTCAGTTCTAGTTCAGTTCAGTTCAGTTCAGTTCTAGTTCAGTTCTAGTTCAGTTCTAGTAGTTCAGTTCTCGTTCAGTTCTAGTTCAGTTCTAGTTCAGTTCTAGGTTCAGTTCTAGTTCATTTCTAGTTCAGTTCTAGTTTTCAGTTCTAGTTCAGTCTAGTTCAGTTCTAGTTCAGTTTCTAGTTCAGTCAGTTCTAGTTCAGTTCTAGTTCAGTTCTAGTTCAGTTCTAGTTCAGTTCTAGTTCAGTTCTAGTTCAGTTCTAGTTCAGTTCTAGTTCAGTTCTAGTTCAGTATCAGTTCTAGTTCAGTCTAGTTCAGTTCTAGTTCAGTTCTAGTTCAGTTCTAGTTCAGTTCTAGTTCAGTTCTAGTTCAGTTCTAGTTCAGTTCTAGTTCAGTTCTAGTTTCAGTTTCTAGTTCAGTTCTAGTTCAGTTTAGTTCAGTTCAGCTCTAGTTCAGTTCTAGTTCAGTTCAGTTCAGTTCTAGTTCAGTTCTAGTTCAGTTCAGTTCTAGTTCTAATTCAGTTCTAGTTCAGTTTTAGTTCTGTTCTAGTTCTGTTCTAGTTCAGTTCTAGTTCAGTTCTAATTCAGTTCTAGTTCAGTTTTAGTTCTGTTCTAGTTCTGTTCTAGTTCTATTCTAATTCTGTTCTAGTTCTATTCTAATTCTGTTCTAGTTCTCTTCAAGTTCAGTTCAAGATTTAGTTCAGTGCAGATTTAGTTTCTATTCTTAATGTTCAAATTAAATTTTTTTTTAAAACAATTCAAAGTTATATTGATAAATAATTAATTTGAAATAATTTTTAATTTAATTGATACCGTTGTCCGGTTTAATGATATTCTACATTAATTCTTTACTACAGGGATAATGTAATCAATCAAATAATCAAAAATATTTTAAATAATTCAATATAATTGATCATTAATTAGAGAGTTAAGTTATTTTTAAACAAAAAACCTGGTCAATTACAAAATTGCTACGATATTGCAGTTATTATTGTTTTTAATTAGCACTAAGGTCATAGTTTTAATTGATATCAGGAAAGTTATAGGAAATACGTCAAACATGACTAAGTAGTAAGATCAAACTACTTTCATCACTTGGTTCAAGACCTGTAATTAATGTTTGCAGCAGAATTTATTTAAATAAGAACTTTTCTACACTATTATAAATAATACACTAATGTTATTTAAATTATTTGTTTATTTTGTAATTTAATTATCTCAATAGCTAATGCGATTATTAATTTGTTAAACTTAGATTACATTAACTTTAATAACAAATTTTGTTTTGTTTTAATATCTTTTTACAGAGATCCCTACCATGATTACCGAAATCGAAGAAGTACCTGCCATTATGGTGGGAGACTATAAACTACAATTTGAATTGGGTGAACCCTGTGAACGTACCAAAGAAGTGGCTTTACGTGAACTACGGGAAACTCCCGAAAATATTCAAAAAGGCACAGCGGAACTTAAAAAATTATTGGATGGTAAGTAATTGAAATACAGTGACTTCTTTTTAAGAAAGTTCTAAAAGAAAATCGATACATTTGCGAGTATTTGGGTCTTTTATCGTAGTTCTGTTTTAGTTTAGTTCAGAAAATTCTCAAAGTTTAAAAGTTTTTTTTACTGCAAATCTTATATTTACTAAATAAATATGATTATTTCGCAAGTTTTTTTTTCATAACTAATTTGTTTTAAATTATTTAATGTTTGTTTTTATGCAGTTATTATCATGACCCTTAATCTATTGCATTAGATTTTATAATTGAACTAAAAAGCCATTTACAATTTCTCAGTACTTAACAATGACAGCAGCTTTCATTTAAACGGTTTCAGTAGACAATGTCGGAGAACACGTAGACAAAAAATCCCCACAGATTTAAATTAAAATGCTAATAAAAATATTTTGAAATGTAAACAATAAGGAGGTATAGGAATATCAAAAATTTTCTTCTTATTGCTTACAGTCAACAACAATTTTGCCTTCTTCTTGAATCACCCTAATGTAACACTTTTTCAAAAATTATGATTCATTTCGTAATTGTTGTTATTACTATTATTGTTTTCTTCTAAAATGTTATAAAATAATATTTACAATTAATAACAAAAACAACCAGTTTTGAAATCTAACAGCAACTACAATTACAGTCAAAATGCATTAGCAACATTTTGCTGGTAGAGAAATGTTAAGTAAGAATTAATACAATCTATTATAATGTTAATTGTTTAAAAATATCACATATTTCTGAGAAAATATGATTAAAAAAGGTTATCGCTAATTGATTTTATCTGCATTGTATATGCAATTTACAAATGGACACGTGTATAACAGTAACTGTCAACAACTGGGGTTTTTGAACGAATTGCTGAAAAGAGTTATAAACAATTTCCAAGGAATAATAGCTAAATCGGAAATTACAGGTCCCTACTAACGTTTAGACTTTAAAGAATATAAAAAAACAAGAACTTAAGTAGAACTGACCTAGAACTAAAGTAGAATAGAACTGGAACTGAACTAAAACGAACTAGAGCTGAATTAGAACTGAACTAGAACTGAACTAGAACTGAACTAGAACTGAACTAGAACTGAACTAGAACTGAACTAGAACTGAACTAGAACTGAACTAGAACTGAACTAGAACTGAACTAGAACTGAACTAGAACTGAACCAGAACTGAAGTAGAACTAAACTAAACTAGAACTGAACTAGAACTGAACTAGAACTGAACTAGAACTGAAATAGAACTGAACTAGAACTGAACTAGCACTGAACTAGAACTGAACTAGAACTGAACTAGAACTGAACTAGAACTGAACTAGAACTGAACTAGAACTGAACTAGAACTGAACTAGAACTGAACTAGAACTGAACTAGAACTGAACTAGAACTGAACTAGAACTGAACTAAAACTGAACTAGAACTGAACTAGAACTGAACTAGAACTGAACTAGATCTGAACTAGAACTGAACTAGAACTGAACTAGAACTGAACTAGAACTGAACTAGAACTGAACTAGAACTGAACTAGAACTGAACTAGAACAGAACTAGAACTGAACTAGAACTGAACTAGAACTGAACTAGAACAGAACTAGAACTGAACTAGAACTGAACTAGAACTGAACTAGAACTGAACTAGAACTGAACTAGAACTGAACTAGAACTGAACTAGAACTGAACTGAACTAGAACTAGAACTGAACTAGAACTGAACTAGAACTGAACTAGAACTGAACTAGAACTGAACAGAACTAGAACTGAACTAGAACTGAACTAACTAGAACTGAACTAGAACTGAACTAGAACTGAACTAGAACTGAACTAGAACTGAACTAGAACTGAACTAGAACTGAACTAGAACTGAACTAGAACTGAACTAGAACTGAACTAGAACTGAACTAGAACTGAACTAGAACTGAACTAGAACTGAACTAGAACTGAACTAGAACTGAACTAGAACTGAACTAGAACTGAACTAGAACTGAACTAGAACTGAACTAGAAACTGAACTAGAACTGAACTAGAACTGAACTAGAACTGAACTAGAACTGAACTAGAACTGAACTAGAAATGAACTAGAACTGAACTAGAACTGAACTAGACTGAACTAGAACTGAACTAGAATAGAACTAGAACTGAACTAGAACTGAACTAGAACTGAACTAGAACTGAACTAGATTTGAACTAGAACTGAACTAGAACTGAACTAGAACTGAACTAGAACTGAACTAGAACTAAATTAGAACTGAACTAGAACTGAACTAGATTTGAACTAGAACTGAACTAGAACTGAACTAGAACTGAACTAGAACTGAACTAGAACTGAACTAGAACTGAACTAGAACTGAACTAGAACTGAACTAGAACTGAACTAGAACTGAACTAGAACTGAACTAGAACTGAACTAGAACTGAACTAGAACAGAATTAAGACTGAACTAGAGCTGAATTAGAATAAATCTAAAATTGACTATCAGATTATCTACTTCGAATTGTAAACATTTTCTATAAAGAACTTCAAATAAAAATCTTGATTATTTCAAGCATAAATCGTTTCTATAAAATTTAATGTAAGTGATTAAATATCATGCCAAACCAAGGTTGCTGAAAAAATCTTGTATTCATAAAAAACCACAAGCAAATGCAACCTTAAATGGTAGTGCAACCTCTACTTAAATTTCATCAAAAAAAAACTTGCATCTTCAAGCATAATATCAGAATAATTTAAAATATATATTCTTAAACTAAGGTCACTCTCATGAGGGTTTTTTCCACAATAAAAAAAACTAGTTTTGAAAAGAACACAAAAAAAAAATGCACACAAAATGCAACCTTACAATTATATATTGAATACAACCCTGAACTTGCCTAAAATAAACAAAAAAAGATCTTGCAAATTCTTGAGAAAAGAAGAACCTTGTTAAAATAAATTAAGTTAAAAAATAATATAAGAAATAACACACAATAATAACTAGATCAAGAAATCAAATATATTTTTCGGCTCTTTCTTAAATTTATTTCTTTTATTAGTATTTTTACCGTAAATGTGCAAACAAATCAATAATGTAAACAGTTCCGCATCTGTCAAACACAACAAACAGACAAACCACAACAAAAACATGTCAAAATTTCAATTTCAGTTTCAGTTTCTAGCGGCCAAAAACCCTCCACTACCAAAAATGAAAATAGTTTTATTGTTGTTCATTTAACAACCTTGAACTTAATTTAAAAATTTTTTATTCTTTATGGTTAGAAATACAAGCGAAAACTTGTTTAAAAATACAAAAAACTTAATGATGAGTAAGATATAAGGCAAAGTTATACAAATGTTGAATGAAATTTAAATTTCGGAATTTTGACTTAAAAACAAAAATGTGACGTTTAATTGTTTAACTTTAGTACTTGTTAAACATTTAAATAAAAATTCAAAAGGCGGCGGCAGTTGTAATTGTTAGAAAATATTTAATTATTTTTATTATTGCAAAGTTTTGAAAAAACTTTTTTATTGTATTTAATTTTTTTTAAACTTTACGTGTTAATTACTTTAGAATGATTTATCAAAAAAAAAAATATAGTTAACTTTTGTCTGTAATTAAGTAGAAATTAAAAAATAATAATAACTAAATATTTTATCTACAAATCTTTCTATTTAACTACAAGTTAGCTTTAAACTTTAGAGACTCTCTCATTGTCTTGAAAAAAAGATTAGTTTTATATGTACGTGTTCAACTTATAATAATGACCTTTTTTAGTTGTGTTTTTAGGAATTTTTAATTGTATTCAAAGTCTAAATGTTTAATACTAACTAGACCTTCGAAATTATAATGAAATTAAAGTTTTTTTGTTTTAAATTTATGGCTTAAATTAAACAAAATATCATCAAAATATTCTAGTTAATATTTTCTTTATTTTAATGGAAAGTTTATAACTTATACCAAATCGTAATGGTTTTATAGAGAATAGCAGACTATAGTCCATTATATAGGTGTTAGTCTGGGAAAAAGTCTATTCTATACTATGGACTATAGTCTATACTACCATCTATAGTACAGTCTATAGTATGGACTAGCTCGTTTCTACTTCAGTTCTACCTTAGTTCTAGTTCAGTTCTAGTTCGGTTCTAGTTCAGTTCTAGTTCAGTTCTAGTTCAGTTCTAGTTCAGTTCTAGTTCAGTTCTAGTTCGGTTCTAGTTCAGTTCTAGTTCAGTTCTAGTTCAGTTCTAGTTCGGTTCTAGTTCAGTTCTAGTTCAGTTCTAGTTCAGTTCTAGTTCAGTTCTAGTTCAGTTCTAGTTCAGTTCTAGTTCTAGTTCAGTTCTAGTTCAGTTCTAGTTCAGTTCTAGTTAGTTCTAGTTCAGTTCTAGTTCAGTTCTAGTTCAGTTCTAGTTCAGTTCTAGTTCAGTTCTAGTTCAGTTCTAGTTCAGTTCTAGTTCAGTTCTAGTTCAGTTCTAGTTAGTTCTAATTAATTTCTTGTTCAGTTCTAATTCAGTTCTAGTTCGGTTTTAGTTCAGTTCTAGTTCGGTTCTAGTTCGGTTCTAGTCCGGTTCTAGTTCAGTTCTAGTTCAGATCTAGTTCTGTTCTAGTTCTGTTCCAGTTCTGTTCTAGTTCTGTTCTACTTCTGTTCTAGTTCTGTTCTAGTTCTGTTCTAGTTCTGTTCTAGTTCTGTTCTAGTTCTGTTCTAGTTCTGTTCTAGTTCTGTTCTAGTTCTGTTCTAGTTCTGTTCTAGTTCTGTTCTAGTTCTGTTCTAGTTCTGTTCTAGTTCTGTTCTAGTTCTGTTCTAGTTCTGTTCTAGTTCTGTTCTAGTTCAGTTCTAGTTCAGTTCTAGTTCTGTTCTAGTTCTGTTCTAGTTCTATTCTAGTTCTGTTTTAGTTCTGTTCTAGTTCTGTTCTAGTTCTGTTCTAGTTCTGTTCTAGTTCAGTTCTAGTTCTGTTCTAGTTCTGTTCTAGTTCTGTTCTAGTTCTGTTCTAGTTCTGTTCTAGTTCTCTTCTAGTTCTATTCTATTCTAGTTCTGTTCTATTCTAGTTCTGTTCTAGTTCTATTCTAGTTTTGTTCTAGTTATGTTCTAGTTCTGTTCTAGTTCTGTTCTAGTTCTGTTCTAGTTCTGTTCTAGTTCTGTTCTAGTTCTGTTCTAGTTCTGTTCTAGTTCTGTTCTAGTTCTGTTCTAGTTATGTTCTAGTTCTGTTCTAGTTCTGTTCTAGTTCTGTTCTAGTTCTGTTCTAGTTCTGTTCTAGTTCTGTTCTAGTTCTGTTCTAGTTCTGTTCTATTTCTATTCTAGTTTTGTTCTAGTTATGTTCTAATTCTGTTCTAGTTCTGTTCTAGTTCTGTTCTAGTTCTGTTCTAGTTCTGTTCTAGTTCTGTTCTAGTTCTGTTCTTGTTCTATGTAGTTCTGTTCTAGTTCTGTTCAAGTTCTGTTCTAATTCTATTCTAGTTTTAGTTCATTTGATGATTCGTTACTTTTATTGATCATATCTTTTTCTTTTTATTTCATTTTAGCTGAACCGGATTTAAAATGTCCCCGAGATGATTTGTTTTTATTGAGATTCTTAAGAGTTTGCAAATTCTATCCCGAAAGTGCTTTGAAATTGGTAATATTTCTTAAGATCTCCTAAAATAAAAGAAATGTTTAATATAAATTCTATAATTACAGATCAAAAACTATTATTCATTCAAAGTTAAACATGCCGATGTTTATAAAGATTTAATACCCAGCAATGAGAAGAATGTCTTTGATCATAATGTCATTATAGTATTTCCCAATAGAGATCAATTGGGACGTAGAGTAGCGGTATTGGAATTGGGAAGTAAGTATTTAGAGCAACTTTAAAAGAGAATAAAAATTAACATATTTTTTTCCTGTACAGAGAACTGGAAACACAAGAAAGTTTGCTTGGATGAGGTCTTCAAGGCTGCCGTTTTATATTGGAAGCTGCCATGTGGGAGCCTGAAACACAAATTAATGGTGTCGTAGTCATCTTCGATATGGATGGTTTGAGTTTACAACAGACTTGGCAATTTACTCCAGCCTTTGCCAAACGTATTGTGGACTGGTTGCAGGATTCGGTACCTCTACGTATCAAGGCCATACACATTGTCAATCAACCCAAAATCTTCAATGTAGTATTTTCTCTATTCAAACCTTTCTTAAGAGAAAAATTGCGTAATCGTATTATTTTCCATGGTACCGATCGTGACTCGCTATATAAATACATGTCTCCCGAATGTTTACCCGCCTGTTATGGTGGTTCACGCAAAGAACCCCGCATCGATGGTAATCAATGGTATAAGTTGTTGGTCCAGTGTGAAAAGGAATACAAGGCCATTAATTCGTATGGTTATCAAAAGTAGAGTCAGAGAAGATTTTTTGTAAAAAATCGCACATCCATTATATTGCCGCAAAATAACACCCATCATTTATTGTTAACTATTAGTTTTTAAGAAATATACTTGTTTTTGGAGAATTTTAAATCCGAACAAAATTTCTGTTATAGAACAAACTCTGGCCAGTTGTTCTTAAAGTATGTACTTACTTTCCCTTTTAATTTTTAAACAAAATTTTCTTAAAACTTATTTATTTTTTAAATTAATTTCTCCTTCTTCACTTTTTTGTATAATATTTTTGACTTGAATTAAGATTGTACCTTCTTCTATTTTTACTAAATAATTTAATATGGGGGCTGTAAATATCACTTAAGTTCAGGGATTAAGTTTCATTATTACTTGATTTTAGTATTGTAATAAGGGATTGTTTAGTTTGTAAGCTTGAAATAATATTTTTTATATAAAAATAAAAACAGAAATTAATTTTGAATAAGAAACGCTTAGAAACTATTATGAAGAAAGTTATTGTATAATAAAGCGCTTATTTAAGAAAAAAAGTAAATAAATGTTGTAATAACATAAAATACATTAGTTTTATTGAGAGGACTTTTCCGGAAAGTCGATAGTTCAGAAAATAGACTAAACCATAGCATGGACTAGAGTGAACACTGTAGTCTTGCTTATAGTCTTGTCTGCACTAGAGAGTAATCGCCTATAGACTTTGACTAGTGTCCAGAATGTTAGAATAGCCTATGGTCGGGGACTGTAGAACAGTCTATATACTAGCTTACAGTCAAAACTACATAGATAGACTTGACCATAGGCCAGACTAAATCCAGATTAGAGCCTAGACTTTAGTCGATAATAAAGACTAGACTGTAGTCCAGACTATAGACTAGACTATAGTCCAGACTATAGACTAGACTATAGTCCAGACTATAGACTAGACTATAGACTTGACTATAGTCCCGACTATAGACTAGACTATAGTCCAGACTATAGACTAACTAGACTCTAGTCCAGACTATAGACTAGACTCTAGTCCAGACTATAGACTAGACTCTAGTCCTGACTAGTCTATAGTCACGTTCACAGATTGGACGTGACTAGACTATAGTAAATATTATAGACTAGACTATAGTAAATATTATAGACTAGACTATAGTCCAGACTATAGACTAGACTAGACTATAGTCCAGACTATAGACTAGACTAGACTATAGTCCAGACTATCGACTAGACTATAGTCAAGACTACAGACTATAGAATATAGACTAGACTATAGTCCAGACTATAGACTAGACTCTAGTCCAGAATATAGACTAGATCTAGAATATAGACTAGACTATAGTCCAGACTATAGACTCGACTCTAGTCCTGACTAGTCTATAGTCACGTTCACAGATTGGACGTGACTAGACTATAGTAAATATTATAGACTAGACTATAGTCCAGACTATAGACTAGACTAGTCCAGACTATAGTCCAGACTATAGAATATAGACTAGACTATAGTCCAGACTATAGACTAGACTATAGTCCAGACTATAGACTAGACTATAGTCCAGACTATAGACTAGACTATCGTCCAGACTATAGACTAGACTCTAGTCCTGACTAGTCTATAGTCACGTTCACAGATTGGACGTGACTAGACTATAGTAAATAATATAGACTAGACTATAGTCCAGGCTATAGACTAGACTATAGACTATGCTATAGTCCAGACTATATACCAGAATATAGACTAGACTATAGTCCAGACTATAGACTAGACTCTAGTCTGGACTATAGCCTAGCCTATAGTCTGCACTATAGCCTAGCCTATAGTCTGGACTATAGCCTAGCCTATAGCCTATATATAGTCTGGACTATAGCCTATACTATAGTCCAGACTATAGCCTATACTATAGTCCAGACTATAGCCTATACTATAGTTCAGACTATAGCCTATACTATAGTCCAGACTATAGCCTATACTATAGTCCAGACTATAGCCCATACTATAGTCCAGACTATAGCCTATACTATAGTCCAGACTATAGCCTATACTATAGCCCAGACTATAGCCTATACTATAGCCCAGACTATAGCCTATACTATAGTCCAGACTATAGCATATACTATAGTCCAGACTATAGCCTATACTATAGTCCAGACTATAGCCTATACTATAGTCCAGACTATAGCCTATACTATAGTCCAGACTATAGCCTGTACTATAGTCCAGACTATAGACTAGACTATGGTCCAGACTATAGACTAGACTATAGTCCAGACTATAGACTAGACTATAGTCCAGACTATAGTCCAGATTATAGACTAGTCTATAGTCTGGACTATAGACTAGACTTTAGTGCAGACTATAGAACTATAGTCCAGACTATTGACTAGACTATAGGCCAGACTAGAAATCTGGTTTTTCGACAGAAATTTTCATCAAAAATTTCACTAGAAAATCAATATTTTATCACAAATTCGAAATTTCTCCAAAAAAAAAAAAATTCAGCAGAAATTTCAAAACTTCTCAAACTATTCAAAATTATAGTCCAGATACTAGAAACTTCAAATGTTAGAAGATAGATTCATTAAATATTGATTTTTCGCCGGAATTCAAAGCACCAGAAAAAAATCACCAACAATATACAAAAAAATTCAAAACACCAAAAAATCGAAATTTCACAAAAAAAAAAAAAAAACCAAAAACTCAAAATTTTATCAAAAATTCAAAATGCAGCCGAAATTAAAAATATCACCAAATACGAAAGTCATCAAAAACAAAAGGCACGAGAGAAAGGCAGAAGGGGCCCAAAAAAAAGCAAAAGGGCACTAAAAATTCAAAATGCACGAGAAAGAAAAAGGGCAGAAAAAATTCAAAATGTACCAAAAATTCAAATATTTACCAAAATTCGAAAATTCATTAAAAATTCAAAATTTCACCTGAAATTCTAAATTTTAGTAAAAAATTCAAAATATCTCCCGGAATTAAAAATTTTACCCAAAATTAAAAATTTCACCAAACCACTAAATCGTATTCAACATTTCAACAAAAACTCGATATTTCACTAAAAATTTTAAAATTAACCAAAAGTTTGAAATTTCACCAAAAATTCAAAATTTCACCAA